CCCTGCACTCCCCCAGTGACACCACTGGGTACAACTGCCCCGTAGGGTCTCCAAGGCAGTACGCTTTCCTGAAGCATTTTGCTGGTTCTTTCTCTTGCAGAGCTGCTGGTGGGCTCAAACCACCAACCTTTCGCTTAGCAGCCAAGCACTTAGCTGTTTCTTCGTGGGAGTTACTGTTTGTGACCCCTGGAGGTACTATCAGTAACTACCACATAGGACGTTTTAGAGGATTAAGTAAGCTGTACAGATACAGCCCTTGAATGGTACTTGGCACGTAGTTGTTGCCGTCGAGTTGGCTTGAATTACAGTGGCCCAGGCCAACCTCGTGGATCACAGTGATCGATCAGTAACTGACTGGGCCACATTTTGTCGCACCGTCCATTGCATCACCACGAGTCAGAATGACTTAAAACTACCCCCCACTAATGCGTCCCTTTCTGTTTCCTGGCAGAACGACCGTCCTCGGCGTTTCCTTTGGAGTTGCGTTTCTCTTGCTCACCTTCATCCTGTGTGTCTGCTTTGCTGGGCAGCTTCTGGTAGGTACTTCAAACGTGGAACATCTTTCAAAGTGTGTTCATTTGAAGAACGCTGATATTTTGTGTAAAACTTAGCACAGCCGGCACCTTGTGGATTTACCGTCCAGGAGATTCAGAGCTCCAGAGAGAAGCATGTCCCCTTCGTGTTATGAGCCGAGAAGTTAAACTCAGGCAGCTCGAATCCAGCAGGATGCTCATTGGAGAACCGTTGTAAATGTGGGGTGTCATACAACTAAGTCATACTGATGTCATCTCTGAGTTTTCAGAGTATGTGCAGGTACAAAGGTAACAGGAGGCTTCTAGTGTACCGGGGAATTAAATGGTGAGCCAAATACGTCTTGTACACACACTTTCAAGATATAAAGTTTAGAACCTTTGGAAACAGCAGATATAAAAGTATTTTTACTGGTCTTTTAACTTTAGCCAGTCATGGCATGCTCTTGTGGCTTAAACGCTGGCTCTCGAGATAAGCGTTAAATCGAAGCTTGTTCCTGAGGCCAGAGCAAGACCTGCTGGCTGAGCACCGCCCCA